GACAATTTTTAAATCTATAAAGCAAATTATTGTTTATAGTTAAACACAAAGCTACACAATGGGCTATCTGTGCTCTGCCCACCATTAGTATCGAAACTCGGTTTCTACCATTAAATCCGTAGACAAACCGTTGTACCACTGAGGGGCAGCAAATTATAAAAACAAAGGGAAGATTATAATTTTTCATGTACATTTAATAAATTAACAAGTATATTTCGCAACCAGTGTATCAGTTTACATACAGTAATGACATATACAAACAAAGTGTGCAAAATAAAAATTACACGTGCACTTCATCTTAAATTACAAATAATTTAACTTAAATTTCAAAGTTATACTTGATGCCCACACTCCCATTCCCATCACGCAAAATTTCAAAACATTTCCTGCATATTGTAAATAACGTTTACATTTCATACTGATTCTGTTCAAGATTAAAATCGAGTGGGTAAAGGCCACTGTGGTGTTGAAACTTTGATTTGCATCGTTTATCATGTGTAGAATTGCTGAATACACATAAACAAAAATTACATTAAAGACGCCGCATAAATTAAAAGGATCCCTAGAGTACAGGCTATAATGTAGGATATAAAATGTGCCCTGGGTTTTGGAGGTGACTGCGCAAAGAGGACCCACATTGCAGTGGGAATACACAGTTTATCAGTCTTAACCTTCATTCGCCAGTCTCACATAACGAAATTCATTTTTAAAAAAATCACATAAAATCATGAAAAGAAACTCAAGTTAGAAGAGCGAGATGTGGGTGCTCAAGCCCACAACGTCCCACATCTATATCACTCTTCACGGCCTTCAGACAGTTGTTGGAAGGTGACTGCTCTCCAAAGTAAAATTAAAAGAAAACTAACGAAATAAGGTACTGCCACTAGGGAGTAAGTAAAATAAACTTACCTCCTGAGGTTGACATTCCAGCCCCTATTATCAACTTAATTAGAATAAAGTATTTTTATAAACTTTAATGAAATTATTAATTACCATATCTTTGGATTGGTTAATAAGTTTAAATGTTTGTGTACTGTTGGTTTCATTTATGATAATTAATGCATAAAACTTTTTACAATAAAGCCACAATTACAATTAGCTTTATCAATGGGAAATATAACATATTTTTCTAGTAATTCTTGAATATTATTTTTTTAATTGATGAAACAGTAAATCTATAGGATATTTTTTAAATTTTTTATAGGATAATTTAAATCGTATATTTTTAAGCACATAAAACTTCCATTCCAAAAACTATCTAGGTGGTTAAGGTGTAATATAGTTAAGTTTCAAAATGTATTCATCAATATTGTTTTCAATAGATTTTAGAATATTTTGCTGATTACATTTTATGGTAATTCTGTATTTAGATCCGTTTTAAATTATTTCACATATCTTTTATAATTTCCAAGTTACCAGTAATAATATGTTTATGAAAAGTGTCAATAAATAAACTATTTTCACACTCACAAGGTAAATTATTAGCTTCATCTACATTTAAGTTTGTTAAAAAACTTTTACAATTATATAATAGTGGACTGGTTAGAATTTCATTATTTATAACTTTCATGATAGTGTAGATATTATTGATTAATTTATTTTTTGAGTGAATATTTTATGATTGCTTAGTTTTTGTTATAATAAGAGAGTTAAAAGCAGACGATTGTCGGAAGTTGTGTTTATAATTCATTGATGTTGAGGCTATAGAATGTCGTGCGCAATAATACATTGACGTCGATAATATAGATTCCTAGAAGGCGAGCAGACGATTAATGATAAACATATAAATAGTGTGAGACAGACAGTAGCAATCTATGAAAGCCATTTATTTTGTTAAAATAGGGAAAACAATAAAAGAAAACAAATAGGTATACACGAGTTTGTGATTTCTACGAGAATAATTTTTGTATCAAAATTAATGTTGGAAAATGTAAAGTATACGAGGTTTAGAAGAAAAAACACCGCCAAGAGAAGAGTAAAATATGTCTTCCTTATGTTTTTCTTTGTTGAATAAAACGTTCTTTCATAATTTTACGCTGGATCTTGCCAAATTCAGATCGAGGAATTTTATCCACAATCTCCACGCCTCCTGTTAGTCGTTTGTACGGTGGTAGATAACCTGAAAAATCAATTCACTTTGATAGAGGAATAAAACGATGTATTGCATAATAACGACTTGACATTTGAAAGTTACAAGAAAGGGGCATTTTGAACTTAATATTCTCTTTAATTTAGTCACTCCACTCCTGAGACTTTCATTAAAACAGAATATTTTGAAATCAGCCCTCTATCTAATGAAACAACCTACACTTTTTTCTATTGAACTCCGTTATTAATAAAATGAAAAAGCGTAAAAGTATCTTGTTAGGATGACTTTAAATTTAATCTTAGTATTTTAGTCCAGCTTCAAGTTTTCAAAATTCTAAATGGTACTAATTTAGCACAAATGCGCATTATGGAATAATTGTGACATTATCTAAAGTGTAACGTTTATTGTCAGCTTACTGTGATGCTAAAGCTTGTACCTGAAACGAACTGCTTTAAAGTTTCTTGAGACACATGATTCCCTGGCTTTAATACCACAAAACCACGTGGAATTTCTCCTAATTCAGAGTCTGGTACTCCGACGACAGCAGCGTCCTCTACATCAGGATGCTTGCACAATGTTGACTCTATTTCCGATGGAGAAACCTGGTGAAAACCAGTCTTTATCATCTCTTTTAGACGGTCTGTGATGTAAAGGTTTCCTTCTGTATCGTAATGGCCATAGTCTCCTGTGATGTGAATGAATACATAAAAATGCAAGTTTATTTCATATGATTGATCGAACGGATGAAAGAAATATTACAAACAGAATACAAAGTAATTATATCGTGGTATGTTTCATTTATGTATGCTTCTAGAACAGTATCTTGAATTCAGTTGTAACTTTACGATCCTGTTCGTTAACCTTTTATTTCTTAAATTCTGTTTAAAGCTCATAACGGTAACTTTACCAGTTTGTTGGCTGGTTGTTTTATTTCTAAAAACGTATTGACTAACAGCAGATTAACCAGTCTGGTGGTTACAAATTACAGGAAATGAACAGAAAAGGAAATTTAAATCAGTGCATGTTTTGACTTATCAGAGCTTGAAAGAGTTTAGTAGTTTGTCTATTTAGGATAGATAATAAATGGTTCTTTTTATCTTTGTTTTGAAATTGTAACCTTTTTTATCTCTTTCTATATACGATCATATTTTGCCAGTTTCAAATAATTATCCTAATGTGCGTGCGCAAAAGTAACTTGACTTTTATGACAGGATTTTAATGAGCCATTTTCGGATGATCTGAACTTACAAATAGTTAAGCATTAAATTATCCCAAAGCCAAGTCCATTGAGCAGTCATTATACAACTGTAAATTTAGACGGATTATTTTCTAAACTCATTACCTAAGAATTCAAAGTAAACAGTTTAAATACTAACTATAATGACTCAGAAAAAGCCAGACCATTTAAATTTTCACCTATCGATAGATAAATGCCATCCTATCATCCATTAAATTTGGTTTACATCATGATTCATGAAACTTAAGCCAAAAGGCTTTGACCAACCTGTTGCATACCAGCCGTCCGGAGTAAATGCTTCTGGCGTAATTACAGAATTTTTCAAATAGCCTTTCATTAACTGAGGTCCACGAATAAAAAGTTCTCCATCGTGACCTGGCCCGAGAGTAACACCAGTGTTAACATCGACCACCTGTGAAGAAAGAATCGTAATTCTATGTTCGAACAAGTTTTAAACAAGTCCACATTAGGCCTATATATACGGAGTTATCAACTGAAAAATCTTAAGTTTTAATCACCACACTTTATACATCTTGTATTTTCAATTGACTTTTCCATTGAAAATGTTTTGATATAAATATAAAGATAAGCAGTTAAATTAGTAGTTTTTAGTGCACTCTGAAGCTTAAAATTACCAGCGCATCAAACAATGCTGTGATTGATGAGAAAAATATGTTTTTCTAACTTCAAAAGTGTTTTACTATTGTTTTGCAAGTTTAAACTTCATCTTTAGGTTATGAGAGTCGAGAAATTAAATTTCAAGCTCAGAATAATTACAAAAATATCTAACTATTGAATTTGCAGGCATCTTATAAAATTCGTACTTTGTGGTCAATGAATTTTAAACACATTTTAGAATTTTAAAAACCTTAATGTTATGTGTTTCATCTTCATCGTAGTAGATATAAGAAAGTTAGTTAAACTTCAGGAGTGAGACTACGTACCTTAAGTTCGGTTGAAGCCACCAATGTTCCTACCGAATTTGGAATGATCTTCCCTTTTTCTACACAGGATACAAATAGGGCTTCACTGAGTCCGTAAACTATGAAGCACAAAATGAGTCAATAACTAGTACAACAGAATTAGATGGATATGAAATACAATACGAAACAACGTGTTGGAAATCCAACGTGCTGAAAATAACTTATAGCTCAACGTAACCTGTATCATGATATAAAAGAAAGTTACATTGAACATAAAAATAAGATCCTCATTTGATATACTTAGTTGAACTCATTTCTGTAATTTCTAAAGTAAACTACAGAACAATTTATGTAATTTAAACAACTAGTAAATCGAGTTTACCTTCTAATGACCAGTAACTTTACTGAAACTGTTACACTGTTAGGCTTCGCGTTGTTGCCCAAACAACGATACGTTGTGTGTTTTTTTTAATGTATTATTCACTTTTTTTTTAATTTAAGCATTTTAATTTAAGCGTTTTTTTTTCGGACAATATGCATATTATGTTTCGTGACTATGTAATCTATGTAAGCTATTATGTTTAAAAGTACTAGCTTGAGTCTTAAAAAATCCACTTTCTTAATACTCATAAGCATTACCCAGAAATACCTAGAATATTTAAATCTTAAAAGTTAATTGCTGTAACACAACAGTAGGTTTTCAAATGTTTAACGTTAATTATTTTGATAAATTTATAGGTTCACACTTTAAAAAAATAGGTGTAAACGTTATGACTTAGGCATATCTATAGCTTATTCTTTCTGCATTTTACCGTGTCAACGATATTTTAATAAGTTAAATGACTTACTCTTTCTAATATTATAAAATCACTGTTGCACAATGACAAATTCATAATAGATTGTAAACAATACACCTCTAGATAAAATACCGCAAGACGTAGAAAAGTAGAAGCAACAGGCAGTGAGGGAAAATAATAATGATTTATTGTACATGTCTTAACAAAAACATTTTATCTGTTTATTTCTTTTCGCTTTGTTTCGGACAAATGAAGTTCACCAGACTAAGCTGTTGAACACAACTGTACGAATGCCAGATATTCGGAAAACGTCCAGTTTCTTTCTATGTCTAATCCTTTCGTTATACTTCAAGCTTCACGAACTACAAGTATTGAGTTTCACTCGTTATACTTCAAGCTTCATCCTATGCAGTGATTGATTAGGTTACACTAATGATTTTGGATCTTCACCACATCCATGTCACCACCTCCGGTCGTGCTCTATCTGACGATCGTGCATCTGGACAACAACTCTGCAACGTAGTTTCCATTGCAAAAGCTTACGTTGTACGGCTGTCATGTTCAAATCAAACCACTCCTCTCTGAGAGCTTTCCATATTCAGCTTAGTGCACGAGGTCGACGTTTTACCACCGTCTGTTTCAAGAGTCCGATCGCACTGCATTCGACGAGTTGATCGGTAAGTCTTGATGTGGAATAGCATGAATACCAATTTCATTCTCTAGTTGCTGGAGATACGTAACAGTTCAACGGGGTATATGACTGGAAGCTTTATCTTGGTGAACCTATACCCACTTGGCCTGTTATATGTACTGTTGCCTGGGACATGTGAACGGTATTTGTCACTGACCTTTGTGTTCGTGGATTCGTACCTGTTAGTAGACGCAGCACGTTGCTTACCACAGCTGAGGTATGATTTGTTGTAGTTGTCTTTCTGGATAGTTCTCGTCTCTAAGTTGGTCCCCCCCCCCCCCATGCCATTAAGCACAAAGGATATCTCATTCTTAGAAATTCTAAATCCCCGATCTGAACACATCGTTAAGATGATAGTGTATGGATATTTTATGTCAGAAAGAGCTGTTACATATTCTTCAAACAAGTGATCAATTGTTACACTACCTACTGAACTAAAAAATATCAATATGTAGTTCTGATACATTGCGTTCCACCGCGACTTTATATCAGTTGCTGTTTTCACGTGACGTACTGATTTGCGTATTGGAAATCGTTCTTTACACTGTACTCAGCCCTCTGTATAGGTCAAGTTTCATTCATTTTATGTCCAAGTCATTTTGCTATAAGTCGAGCTTCGCTCACTATATGTTGAGCTTCATTCGTTTTATGTCTAGATCTACTCACTATGCGTGGATTGTGACTAGCTCAATATGGAAAGAAATAACTTATGTGTGAAAGTAAAGAAGAATGTAATAATGTATCAACCACACTATATCTACTACGTCAAGTGCCGACGAGGTCTTTCGCGAATACCAGGACTCATCATGCAGACTGGAATACGACAGACATATTAGTGGTCGAGACGTTATTTATAATATCCAAAAGATAAAGTTATCATAGTGATGGTTAATACCTTTTTTCAATGATTTAACAGACGGATATGGCTAATAACCAGTAAAAATGTCTTGTTTCGTAGAAAATTATACAAAATAAAAATTATGATATGAATAGTTCTTACATTGACGGACACCACGTAAGAATGGAAATGCTGTCATGGCAACTTGTTCGTTGGCTTCACGATTTAGTGGAGATCCGCCTGTGATTATCTCTCTTATACTTGTGATGTCATATTCGCGTACTTTGGGGTTGTGTAGAAGCGTGTACAGTGTTACTACTGATCCTCCAATTATGGTCACCTGCACATTTATATACAAACAAATATTTTGCTTGAGACAAAATGACAACAATTGTCGTCTACTTAATTTTCCTATATTTCATATATTGACACCACACTAATTTTTGATCTTTCAATATAATAAAATTTTACCTTTACAAAAAAGGACGAAATTGTAGCATAACTAAAGATAATCAAAGTCCACGCGCTGCTAAGTTTTGATAGCGATTTCATTGGAAATCCATTTATTTTTATTAATTTGTTGTTATTTTCTTAGTGCAAAGCTACACAATAGGTTGTCTGCATCTGTCCACCGAGGAGAATTGAAACACAAATTTTGTCTGTAAAACTTATCGCTGACCCAACGGGAGGCTTATTAATTTTTTGTTTCCATTAACTATTATCAAGAATGATATTAATAGTGCCCTCTAACGACAAAAAACTGGTTATGTTTTCCTGCATTTTGTATATTTTAATAATTGCATCTAATTTAGTATAGCCAAAATGAATGTTCACCATGACATGAAAAAAAAAACATGCTGTGTAAGAACATATTCTTTAGGCTTGTGTGTTTAATTTTATTTAACATTAGTCTACAATACTACTCGCAGTAAATTAACAAACAACAATTTGTAAGTACAATAAAACTTGTTGGTAAAAAAAAGACAAACCAAAGAACTCTCGAAAAATGAAGTATGCTTAATACAATAAAGATATCATTTTGCTTACAAATCATTGTTTGTAGATCTTACAGTATTGGCATAACGTGCTTCCCGATACAAGTACATCAACACTCTTTATACAAATTCCTGTTTACTAATAAGTACTCACAAAGATAAGAGTATTGTTGCAAAATTCATCTATTGCCAGTTTTGGTGATGCTAATTTTAAGAAAAGTGTTTTTTTTTTATTCTCAATTAAACATTATGCATTCAGTTTAGTCCAATAAACAAAACAGGGCTTGGTTTTTGTTTTTTTTGTTTTTTGCCACATATGATATTATATTTTTAATATAAGTGCTACATAACATGTCCTCCAATAGGTAAGCGATAAGCTTCCAGACTTATAACCCTAAAATCTTGAATTCGATTACCCGAGGTGGGCATAGCACAGCTTTGTTTAGCTTTGTATTAATGTACAATAACAACATAACATTGTGTTTCAAGTACAATTATTGCAATGAACTTTAATATTTTTAATTTTCATATTATTTTTTATTTTCGATTTTCTTTGTGAGAAGGATGTATGGGATGACATTGTCCAAACGAGTGAATAGCGCACTAGCCTTTACAGGATTGAATCAGTAGACCAGGATTGAATCCTTGTTGCAGTCACCACGTACAATCCTTCTCAGATTTCCATGAAGACAGAAATAATAAAAATATGCTAATAACCAATTACTAATTGCTCTCACGTGATCTTATAGGCTAATAATCATGAGAACCTTACTATTACTACTTAAACTGAGAAATACTTTTAACTTTTCCAAAGGAGACAAGTCATTATCGAAGAAAAAATTTTCAAAAATTATTCAAAAAACATAAAACATGATTTATTATTTTAGTGCTAGTTTATCAAGTTATAATTTGTTAAAAATCTGAAAATTTCGTGTTAATATTTAGGAATGGCCCCAATGACAAAAAACGAATACTGTGCTTACCACCAAATGTCCGAACTTTTTGCTCTTTACTATTGAACGTTCGAGCTGATTTAGCGAACAACTACTCCATAGCTTAACTTGATCTAAAGTTTTAATAAAATGGTCATTAAATCAAATCATATCAAATGTAGTAGTTTTTATAGAACATGTATTTTTTATTAAATGATACAAACGAAATTATTATATATGAAAGCTGAAAAATAATATGTGATCAATATGCCTAGATTTTTCAGAAAGTCCGGGTACCCTTGGCTACGCCTCTTCACCAGAGAGCATTATTTAAAAAGTTTGTTTTTAAGCAAGTGGGTGAACCTATTGGGGTATAAAAAGTCAGTGATAGAGGGAGAAGGAGCTATAAGAAAATGTTACTCCAGGGCCTTTGAGAGTCTTGCTCCAACATTGAATACTGTTTTTTTATTATATATATATATAGAAAATGTCTAACAATTGACTACAAGTGAATGTAAGTTTTATAGCATATAAAAGATAATCACAAAGTATGCCTACTTTGTGTTTTTGAATTTCTTCCAAATGGAGATTCAAGTCGTAAGATGGAACAATGACAAGTCTGACTCCGTTTATTAAGATGTTTAGAACAAACAAAAAACCACCAATGTGACTAAAAGGATAAATCCCTAAAAGAACGTCGTCCGGCAAATACTGGAGAACAGTTGGTTGGCTGAAAATAGCAGAAGTACAGATCAGTTGAATGACTCAATTCTAATAAAACATAGAAAACACAGAGAAAGGTGAATATTAAACGTATAGAAAGCACATAGAGTAAACTGATTCCTGTGCTAAACGTCCATACTTCTGAAGTGACAGACAAGAGAAAAAGCAACTACTCGATATCATCCACCGCCAACTCTTGGGTTACGCTTGTCAAACCGAATTGTGGGATTTAACCATCACTCTTATAACGTACCCACGGCCCCAGAATACTTAACGAGATTTTCTGAGGTAACGGGTTTCAAACTGCGGACCCTCAGACCGGCAAGCTAACCACTGAACTGCGCTCGGCCCTGTTTGAATGCAAGAATGCAATTTAGATATAGATAAAACAAAGAGCTAAATGTGATTGTCTCAATATAGTGGAAGAACAAATAACACAGAAATTTATATTTAGTATCATATTTAATATAACTAACAATCGATAGTAAAATAGCAAAACATTCATAAATATCAACACAATAATTAGTATCGTATTAAAGGTAACGAAGGGTTTACGCTAGAGCAACAAAACTTGTGTAGTTATATATATTGAACACGATATTTAATGTTGCAGCAGTAACATAACCGAGGGCGGGACTGGGTGGGCCGTGACCTGCCCACTCAGCACCAAAGACCATCCAATCAGAGTCTATTTGATGGCTCTCTCATCTTAGTATGTCACACCTAACGCCTCCTACCCGTCCGTCATAACCCCGGACCCACACAAAATTTCGTATATAGATACAATTATTGCAGTCTTTGTGGTCTGTAGATACATTCTCTTTGCTATGGCAGTTAGACTGTACCAGCAGAACTCTAAGGTAGAGGATACTTTGGATAATGTATAATGCAAGGACTATAAGGAATATTTCACATTGTTGCAAATATATGAAAGTAGTTTTTTGACAACTTTCATGTAAAGATGTTGGTAGAACACAATTTGAATACCAGGAGAGGTCCACGTGGATTAAAGAGACAAAGTCAACAGCTAGTTGTTTGAAAAGTCGTGTTCAGTGTTGGCCACTTCATCATATCATCCTCTGTCTGAAAATTTGGCTTAATGAGTAATACAAATGTTCAAGTAAATCCTAAGAATCCTGAAGAAGCTGAACAGGATGAGCATTTACTATTTTTCATTATAGCATGCCAAGTAAGTGGGCAACAATTAACTGGCTGCATTCCTAACCTCCTGATGTCTGAATAATGAGTACGACTCCCAGTGATGTATTGCCCTCCATCGTAATGTTCACATGAATGTATGGAGCTACTATATTCTGTAAAACAGTCGATGCACGTGTACTTGCATGTCAATAGTTAAGTAAAGCAGTTGTGTACCAAAATATATGCTACGATTAAAAAACAGCAAAACGAAAGACGTGTATAACGTGTATCAATAGCTTAATGGTGTGAACTTTAAGCTGCAGTAGTCACGTGACACCCTTAAGTACACTGAACATGTAAACAACCTGCAGATCTATGTTACTGATGATCCCCTAAAACTGGATGTTTTTGGAATCGTAATGCATCAGAAGGTTGATTCTGATAACAATAATACTGTGTTCAATGAGTTAAATTCAGATAATGACATATAATACATAAAATATACATTAAAAACCGAACTGCGCAAGCAAATTAAAGATTGGTTTTTCTTTATTAAATTTGTTTATTCTTAGTTAAATAATTCCATGTTTTAGTTAATTTTGGGTTATGATAAGTTGCGCACTTTATCTATTCTATGTAACTTTAAATTTTATATTATATTGTATATAATATTTGTTTAACTGACTATTTTTTGGAACCTCCAGAGATAAGGAAGGGAGGAGCACAGCGGTTGAAAACTGATATATTTTACTCTTTTTACAACTAGAAAATAATATACTTTTTTTCAGGTACATTTTACCAATGTTTATGCAGATTTGTTATGCAGTTTATTAATGCTCTTGTGAATAAGATGAGAAAAGTCATAAACTTGCACTAACTTTCTCCTCAAGCTAACAGTCCATTCCATAGACTTCATATCTGATGATGACAAAACCTTGTACATTTGCTGTTATGTTAAACTTATATTAAAGTTTTTCTTTATTACCCATTCAAGCCGTTTCCAAGCATTATTAGAGTTCATACTTGTTTGGTCATGCTATTGTGTCATCGGACGTATGTATAGGTTATTATACGCTTCGATTAAACTTGGCCTGACTTAGTAGAGTAATAGAGGCACAGTCCTTGCGATCTTTGTTGTATAAAAACATCTGACCCTTGTTTCTGTTCTATCAATCACATAGTTACAGTAAATCCCCACACGTTTTATATGTATGTAACAAAAATTTTGTTTCTTGTTTTACACTAGTGCTGAGCCTTTCCTTTGCCGCCTTGAATCTATTTTATTCTCTTGCAAACAAATCTTTTTCATCCTCCGTTATTGCAATACTTACTACTTATGTATTCATTTCAAGTTTATCTGAGAATACTGTAGTATCATAATATATAAAATAATGGTTGATACAATAAAATTTATAGAGTGATATACATATTGTATGCAATATTTAGTAATGTAGTAAATGAAACCAAGTATTTATATGGTAGTAATTGGAAATTCCTATGATCTCAACTCTTCCATGACAGCTTAAGTGATTTTGTTTTTCAGAAACATTGTCAAAATTTTCAAACATCCTTGTGAATATTTACATGCATAGTTAAACTCAATGTGCACCGTAAATATTCGTCTACGTGCTTATATTTCTCTGACTTGTACTTGTGGTTTGGACTCAGTGGATCGTTATAAACAGGAGTAATAGATAGAAAGACTTGTCGTCCTTGAAATTGAGCCTCATCAATGACGTGTAGTACTATATAATCTGAGTAGCAGAGTTAACTTAGCATGATTTAATGTGTCAGATTTGCTTTGTCCTTTCCCTAATGCGAAAGTCTAACTACGGCAACTCCTCCATTATTTACAACACATTAAACTGTAGAAGCAAGCCAGTTGAGATACTGTTCTGAATGGCTGAAAAAAAGACATTTTTGTGTATTATTATAAACAAAGATTGTGTTTTTGTTGTTTAATAGACACCTATGTCTAATCTATTTTATTTCACTGGCTGTGTTTGACTTCTTTACTTTTCGAATATTATACTATTGTTCCTTCCTCTACTGAGGTACTTTATTAACCTTCTTGTTGGTTACAGTATTTACCTGTGAATATCACAATACTAAAGAAACCTAACTCACCTTTTTACAGGTATTAGATTATACATAACACGCATTAAAGGAGATATTCTCACATGTTAACGAGTGTTGTTAAGCACAAAGCTACACAATATGCTCTCTGAGCTATGCTCACCACGAATATCGAAACTTTTTAACGGGCGCTAGAAATCCGTGCGATACCACAAGATATTTCCAGCAATTTAAGCTATGGGTGCGTTATAATAGTGACAGTCAATCTCTTTTGATGAATGATAAGGTGCTGATGACTGGTTGCCTTCCCTCTGGTCAGCAGCTCAAAATTAGGGACAGAGATTGATAACCTTAGTAGCTTTTTCATAAATATAACATAAAAATACACATCTTAACAGAAAGAAGATATTTTGAATTGTGAATAATGCGTCCATAATTTTAAGGTCATATTGGTTTGTCCCGACATGAAGTTTCCGCTTCGTATATATATATACAATGGATTTTTTCTATAATCTTGCATTTTACACATAAATTCTTCTGTAAATGAAACGATTACATCATAACTCACTTTCCTTGGTAATATATAGCAAGCACACTATAATGTGTGTGAACGATAGCCTTAGGTGTGCCTGTTGTTCCACTGGAGAAAGCTATCACTAAAGGCGTTTCTCGTGGGTTGATCTTCGGAGGACCAGTGTAAGCACAACCATCATCTTCCAAGAGTTCAGCGAAAGATATACAACCATCAGTCTTTCCAAACACTAGAATGTCCTATAAGGAGGAATCATGGTAAAAGTACAAGTGTGAAACTATGTTCGAAAGCATACTGTTGTACCCAGAATTCAACAAATACTCACAGGCTATGATGTTGGAAACATATTATTGTACAGATTGTAGTCTTATAAATTAGAAGTTGGAAATTTATTATTGCATAACAATAATTGTTTATTGGTTTATCGTTTTAGAAACATTAAAATATTATCTTCATTGTCGTGATTTGAATTGTTACAAGTGAACCAACAGCAAATAATAATAAAAGAAAAGTAATTATTCATACAATTTAAACTAATTCATTTTTTCACACTTCTTATAGAACTTTTATATGCAAAAAACTTCAAATTATTTTACAGAAACGTGTTTTATTTGCTAATTTTCAAATATAAGTTTATATACCTTTTAATTGTATATTTTTATACTAATCTAAGATTACCTTAATCACAGAGGATCTTCACAAAAAAATAGAACTTGCTGGAGCTGTATATGTTGTGGTTGAAGAAAAGAATTCAGGAAAGGCAAGAGAAGCAACACTAAACCTTTCCAATTTCCGGGTAAACAACGAATGTTATTAACATTGTGCAAAAATATCAACGTCAATAAGAAAACCAAACACTTCTTTGTCAATTGAAATATCTGGTATTATAAACAAAAACATCACTTTTCCAATAAACTTTTTCTAATAACACTTCATAAAAAACATTTTTTCTATACATACATAGATTTAACGATATAAACAGTAGCCTTACTTTATGAGCGAAATGATTTCTTTTAGGTTCGAGCTAAAACTTAACAACTAACGACTAACCTATACTCATAACGTTGTTGTGCGAGACTTACCTATGGTGTCATTGGGTTTTGCCAGGGTTATGACAGCCCCTGCACTTATTGCGCCTAGAACTACAATAGGGACATCCAAATTGTTGGCAGAACACAAACAAAAAACACCTCCTGGTTTTAAGCCTCGCCGTATGAGTGCACTGGCAACCCTTCCACCATAGAAATCAATCTGCCTGGCGGTATATGAACGCGAGTTATCATGTGCTATCTGAGAAATAAGAATAATTAAACTCACCGCCTTGACAATAAATTTAGTTTTTCATAATACTCTTCTGAAAAGAAAAAAAAACCTCATAAGTAACAACACACCCCACCAACAGTGAAATAAAAAAGTTTTAATTTCAATTTCTTCTATGGGCTCGCTCTAGGATAAACTTTTAACAAACTCACTTTTTAACTAAACTTCTTAACTAAATAAATATGGGCCTGGTATGGCCTAGTGGTTAGAGATTGGAACATACATTGTATATAGTATGAGGGCCAATTCCACCATTCAATTAAAATAATTCAAGCGTTGGCGATGGGTGATGTTGACTAGCTGCCTTCCTCTAAATTAGAGACGGCTAGTGCAGATATATTCCTCAAGTAGTTTTGCGTAAAATTCAACAAACAAATAAATAAATATATTGGACTTGGAAATTTATAGCTTAATTTAAATTAATCTATCTCTGATTTTATAATAAAAAAGACTTACTCGTAAGATCTTAAACTGGAATTCTCGGACCCTCAATATTTAACTAAATTAGAATTTTGTTCATACACTGAAGATGATTACGAAAGTTAATCGACATAAATACTTACTAGTACAGGTCTGTCCTCGTGTTCCTTCAGTGATGAATAAATTAATTCTGGTAGAGAAATTTCGGGAATCTCTATAGCACATCGAGGGGAGCGAAGAATTTTATCCTCCAACACCACGGATGAGGAAACACCGTTCTTTTTCTCCATAATAAAATATCGTCTCTTCTGAGATACACAACTAATCTCACTATTGTTATATTGATATATACAGATTGCTGAAGGACTTGGAAATAAATTGTAGAGAAACGTTACCAGTTCATTAAATACTCCAGAGTTCACTGGAGAGGTTGGGGGAATGCTCTTAATTTCTGTTCTTTTCAATATGAAAACTTAATATTTAAGTCTGCTATATAGACCTATATAGATATAGAACTAGTTGTACCAGATTATGCCAGATTAACCTATTGGAACGTTGTAACCATAAATTTATTCGACAATATACAAGTTTTAAATATTAAATTTGTTTCACTCAACGTCTTGTTTCTACAACTTCCTTAGACATGACCTGCTATATATACTGCTAAACTCACGGTGCATAACAGACTATAAACTTCTACATTTGTCTATGGACCAATGAAGAGTTAACAAGAAGGTCACAGTTTATAATAAAACAAAGCAAAAATAAATAGCAACATCGAGGTCTAACGATACGAATGTAGGTATGAAGCTTAAAATAATGAAATATAACTTTATTCTGGAGTTTAGAGTCGTTATTTCATCATATAAAAAGATAAAATAGTGGATCGCATAAGTCATTAAGAGGTGTCATTTAGTCTTTAGTTTCTTGTATATTACTGTTAAAAAATTTTGAGCGCTTTTGAAACTTTGTTTATCCTAATCCATCCCCTGTAAGCTCTTCTCAGTTCGTGCCTTTTAACTTTCACCCATCCACACACATATATGTTTTATATGTATTCAAATAACAAATTCTGTATATATAAGATTTCTGTAACCACCGACTCGTTCAGCGCGGGCTCGGTCCCTGGTATCGACCTCTTAACCATTTTATGCTTGTTATAGTTTTCATGCTATAACTTTTAAATTAGTAAGCGCATGTTAACGAAATGTGGTACACTATCAGTAAACATTATAATGCTTTCATACGCAACATATCAACTTTTTTTATCAAGTCTTAAGGTTTGTAAAGCAATGTTTTTCTCATGTCTTTTTTCTTTTCGCATGTTGCCTATCTATCATGCAAAGTAATTTTCATTTTAAAATTAAAAATACTTTTATGCATCAGATAATTTTGAAATTTCACATACGAAATCTTTATAATGTCGAGATATTTATCAAATATTTCTTAAGAAAAAATTATATATTTTATTTGTTATTTTTAGTAATAAATCTCTGTACGGATTCGGTAGATTTGACCGATCTCGTAACCACCATAAAAATTAGGAAATAAATATAGATTATGCCTCTTTCATTCTAGAATGAATACAAATTATAACACGAAAACATAAATGTTTAGACTAAATAGCTTAAATATCATAACATTATACATTTATATATTTTATTATTTTTATTATATTGACCTTTCAGCCGTGCCTAGCTAACAACACAGAAGTTACAATGACAGGGCACGCGTGCACTCATGTTACCGTATACAATAACATAAAACTAACCTTTGGTCTCTACAACTTGTCTTGGCTGTGTTTTAGTAGACTATCATTTTGTAAAATACAGTCACATTTCAATTATTATACATTACATATGCATATAGATTATTGCTATTTTGAAATAAGTTCTTAAATTGATTTTTCTTAAAACATAGAACAGTGACTAAAGAAAAACTTTAATATAAGTTTAACATAACAGCAAATGTACAACGTTTCGACAAGGTTTTGTC